TTCAAGCTGCAGCAATGGCTGCAGAAAGGAGATTACAGGATAATATTTGGTGTGGTTCTGAATTGTGTGAACTATCAGACTTAGATGAAACTTCTGATGCATTACCTGAGACTTTACCACTAGGGCATACTTCTGATAGATCCAAGCTCTCTAATGGGTTTGATTCACTGTCTTCCAAGGTAACATCTCGAAAAAGAAGTCGAGAATCAAATTCTGTATCATCCTCAAAGTCCTTGCATGGCCATACTGTGACTAAGCCAGTATCTAAGCCCCTGTCTAACCATGATAAGGAAATTGCTCACAGAGTTGGTCAGGTAGAAGGGAAATCTCATAATGTGGCATCAAGAGGTTATACAGAGTCTTTTATTGATTTAACTGGCAATTCTTCGAGTTCTACATCAATACATGGCCATGATGACTTACACGGTCCCAATGAATCAATGATGTGGGAGTGTTTAATGTGCACACTGTTGAACCCAGTATGCTTTTCCCTTCTTAGTTTAACCTGTGCAAGTTTCTCTTAGTTTACTTTCTCTCTCAATAAGCATTTGCTTGTATGTGCTAGATAAATTTGCACTTCTTGAAATTATGTAGGCAAATTATGCTTTCACTGTAGCTTTCTTGCACCAGCTCCTAGCACAATAGTCATGGGTTTACAGTTAAGATCATATTTAGAAGCTACAGTACTTAAAATCAACGAAAGTGTGCTGTTCTGGTATGTGATGAGACTTCTACTCTCTGCGACTTTTATGCTGAATATCTGGTAGAGGTATTATGGTTATATTACTGCTGATTTAGCATTTTCGAAGTGTCAAACTAGTCAGTATTTCTATGTAGATGTCAGGTTGTGTTGGTGACCTGATTAATGTGTGCTTGGATCCATTTCCAGACCCTTTGATATTCATCTGACATCCTAATCAACGTGCATTAACTCTTTATTAGCAGAATATAACTAATAATTGTGTTTTTCCTCTTCAGTTTTTACCTTTTCTGTTGGTTTTCATCAGTTTGTAAAATCTTCTTCGAATTCTTGGAGTTGACTTCCTCTGTTTTTTTCACCAACATTTTGTGCAGCCATTAGCTCCTTTGTGCAAAGTATGCCAAACCCAAAAGCCCAAAGACGTGGATGACAGAAATAGTATATGGTCGTGCAAATTTTGTACCCTGGATAACAGTCTGAAGTTGGATCAGTGCACAGCCTGTGGAGAGTGGAGATATTCTCACGGCCCTCCTGTAGCAACATCAGCGCCCAATCTTGGCACTTGAGGTTAACATGAATTGTGGGAACTCACATTTTTTCCTCGAAATTGTCACTCCTGATTATTGATGTCAATTTTGCATTGCCCGTCAGTTGATCAAGTATTCAAGAATTCACCTAGTTTGATAAACTGAAAAAGCTGTTGGTTTTGCTAATTGTGCTAAGGTGGTAATTTTACTTGTGAATCTCCAATGGAAGCTTGTTTATCCACATACTTCCCTCTCAATTTTCTTCATGTCAATTTCTTATTATCGAGAAGTATGCTATTCGCATTTGGAAAGAAAGAATCAACATATCTGCAACATGTTTTTGTTATTTTTGGTAGAGTTGAGCTTGTCTTGAAAGATGTAGATAGGGAAATACTCTTTGGAAGATGTTCACCTCCTCCCTGCAGCAGATTTTCATTATGCCCCTTGAATATCTTGAAAGACTGATTAGGTGGGGACATGATTCGAACCTGCAATCTTCAGGTCATGAGTCTGATGAGTTGATAGATTCCTCTACCCCGCTTCTTCATTGCAGGTTCTTCTGTAGAGAAAGAACACTGCCATTTAGCACTCATGGATGTGCTGATTTTATCCCAAATTTGGAAATTGAAATCCTCGACTCGTAATGGCATTTGAACAGAGCATGCCTCACTAATTCAGGTGGCTGTGTAGATAGACCCAGAGAGTGAACATCAAGTTTTTTCAGGGATGATGAACATGGAAGTTTTCATGGCTGATGATGTAATTATTTCATGGCCAAATTATCAAGCTCAACGCGAATTTGAATTAATTGTTCATGGTGAGCAAATCCAAATTATTATTATTATTTGTCAAGTGTTCATGACTGAGAGTTTAGATTTATGATCAAGCTCTAAAACTTAAAAATTGAAAAGATTGTAGTCTGTTAATATTCTTCTTAGTATTTGATTATCACATTAGAAATGTTACATGGTGGTGGTAGTCATAATCATTTTTAAAATTTTGGACTGCATAAGTGAGAAATTTTCGAGAGAAAAAAATGAGCGGACTCTTCATTAAAAGTAGACACGAAGTCAGAATTTAAAGTTTGTGGACAGAATAATGACTTCAAATTAATGTATAACAAAGGCCCAAACTAATTAGGAACAGGTACCAATACTTATAGTTGTATTTGGAATTTTGAGAAACACTTCACTTTTTTCATTTCACCCTTAATTATCATTTTATTTTAAATATCATCCCAACGTTTTACCATAACTTTACTTTTAAATATTACCCCAATGATGGTATGGTTGACTCAAACATGGCTCGACTTCGGTCCTATGGTCATAGATTTTTAAATAAGATTTGGTAAAAAGTTTGGCAAATAGTGTTTATTCATGTAACTTGTCATTATTTGACAAATATTTTTGATAAATATCTCCAAAAAAATTCAAATATTAGTTTTTTTAAAAAAGTATTTTGATTAAATCTCATTATTTGGTATCTTTTAAAAATTAAAATTTTATCCCAAATTTTTTTCTTTTACAAAAATACCCTTTATAGTAGTTGTTTGCATTGTATGACATAATTTATTATGTGAACACCAAAGTAGCGATTAAATATTCAGTGAATATTAAATCATGATATGGTTGTTGATGAAAATGATGAACAATCGACTCAAGGTGATAAAGTTATGTACTTTGTCTACTTCACGATGTATGGAATGATGCTTGTTGCACTCACTCCAAATTAAACTAACACATTGCTTTAGTGTCATGGACACTTTTTGTCGTTGTTGCAACGAAGATTCAATTGACTTGTAATACAAATTTGTGGTTAGTTTTGATAGTTTTTAAAACTTATGGGTATAAATTATATTTTTATAAAAAATGAAAATATATTTTTCAAATACTATGATCAAACACATGGTGAAATTTCACCCAAATTTTCATTCAAACAAATTGCAAAAAATATTTAAAAATCTATAGCCAAACGCTAACTTTACGTGATTGCTCTCAATGTTGAATAGTTCTTAATTTTTTAATACAAAAATTAATTTGAGTTAATTCGCTATTAGGATCTAAAATCATATTTATAAACAGATACATCTAAATTCTAAAATAAATATTCAAATATTGTGATGAAACACAATTTTAATTTTAAAAGTTTAAGTTAAAGTAAAATAACTTTTTTAATATCCCAAATTCCTACTTAAGGACCAAAGTAGAAGCTTGATATCCCAACTATTCACAACTTCACATATGATGGATGATGTAGTATCTACGTATGAGTTTCAAGTATGAATACGTCAAATGGTTTACTTCATTTTCTAATTTTATTTTTCCACACTTTATAAATATATTTGTTGTTTATTTTTAGTTTTGGATGGACACATGTTAGAACATGCATTTATAAGAATTTTCCACACTTTAAATAATAAAATAAAGTAAGTTGTATCCTTAAACAAGAAATTTCCTCACATGATTAGACGTAAATGTTCCATGTATTATTTCCAATCAAAATTAATTGAAATATTTAAGAAATTCTATACACTACTAGCGAAATTCTTAATTTTATCATATTATTTTTAGATAGTAAATAGAGACGGAGACATGATTAAAAATTTAAAGATTCTAAATTTTAAGAATTAAGATCAACAGAAAAGTTACTAGCTCCACTGCCTGACAATAAAAGAGGAATGAAGTAGTTATACATTCATATTCATATTCATATATAATATAAAAATATCTCGTTTTCTTGTCGAGTATGTTTTAAAAGTCTAGTTAACACTAGTTGTAACTTCATTATTTTATAATTGACCTAAAATTGAAGCTTAATTTTGAAAGATGACTTTATTATTTTATAGTTTGACTTAATATGATACCGTCTTTCATCTCATGGCATTTGGTATGGTAGTCGCGTAATCAAGATTTTATTTTTATTTTTTTATGATAATTGTATTCAAATTAATTTTTTACGCATCGATAAATTACATGAAATATGTGCCACCTTCTACTACCAATATTTTAAAATCATTTCTCTGTTTATTTTCTCTCTAGAAATTGGCGAAGAAGAAATTGAGGGGATTCCACACATTTTAGTTGCAATAATCTATTTGAAACTTTGATAAATGAATAAAACAAAATTGTAATTAGTTTGTAAATTTCATAGTGACTTATCTTTAAATATTGAGTGTGACATTCTGTAATAACGGAAAAACGATCTAACACAAAATACTACGACACAATACAATGCAATGCCACAAATTATGAAAAATGATACATAACAATTATCTAAACAGGGTGTTAAAGTCGAAATAAAAATTTAAATTATAAAACCGCCTCATAATAGTACAAATTGCAATATAAACTAATTAGGAAGAAAGAACCAAAGACCATAACAGAAAGGTTTATTATGTGTTATTAATAAGGCAAAGTCCACCAGACAGTCTGTCCTTGCAAAGTGAATTCAATACACGCAAAGCTGAACATGCCCAAATCTTCATAGCCAATTTTCAGTTTCATTTATTTTGTTTACTTTTATTTGTCCACTTCAGATTTTGTATGTCTCTTAAAAAACAATGATTAATATGCATAGTTTACCATAATATTCATATTAATTGATGTATAATCTTAGATACAGAAAAAAAGAAGAAGATAATTTTCTTGACATTTTAAAAGTGACGATTTATTTTTGAAATACTGAACAGGTAAAAGTGAACAGAGTGAGCATTTCTTACCTTCTCTCTCCAAAGTCCAAAGTGTTGCTAAGGCAGAGTACCTATAGTGTGCTTCTATATATACTACTCATATGATATAAGCTTCTTTGTCATTACTTGTCCACTTCTTTGAGAAACTAGCAACAACCAAAGTTTAGTTCTGTTTCTACTCTTAAGCAATGATGGTAAGACTCTACTACAACTATACAAGTTCATTTTTTTTTTCTTCTTTTTTAAACAATTATGCAATTTTAGTTAAGCTGAGACAGTTTTCATGCAATACTGCAGCAAAAAATTGTCATAAGAGTACATCATAAGTGCAAGAAATGTCAATCAAAAGCCTTGATGATTGCTGCTATGTCAACTGGTACTGTGAATTTCATATAACATTAGCCTTGTTTCTTTCCCACCTAACATTTTGCTCTTTGCTTTATGTAGGAGTCAACTCGGTGGCATTAGAAGGGGAGAAGAAAGATAAAGTAGTGATAATAGGAGAAGCAGTAGATGCAGCAGGTATTACCAGTTTATTGAGGAAGAAGGTCGGCCACGCCAGCCTGGAGCTTGTCGATGAAGTCAAGTGAAGAAGAAGTCAGAGAACTGTGCTGCATTCAAAATAGATGTGACGACGGAATGTATTCAAAGCATATAATTGTTATGTAGAAGAAACAAATAAATACCTTCTTTAAATTTTTATGATGATTCCTCATTGTGTGATATTTTTAACTTCAACATCAATACTATATATTCCCTTTTTGCTTGAATCATTCAAACAAGTTTCAAAGAAGGGAAGAATCATAAAATGCTTTCAAAAAGATAACTCTAACATTCAAGACGAATAAGGAGTCAGATAAGAGCAGCAGGGTCCATAGTTAATTGCTCAGTGTTCATATGTCTAAGAGATGCAGCCAAATAAGCATCTGAAGCACGAATTTGCGTCAGTCTTTCTTGCATATTTTGGAAAGAAGGACTATTTAACACATCTGATATTCTATCACCTAGCGACGGATCCTCTGAGAAATTGACAAGAGCTTCTGCAGCATTGTCTCTCATTTCCTCCGACTCATCCTGTAACATATCTACTAATCGTGGAATAGCTCCAGAATTTGCAAGAGCAGCTCTATCAGCTTCATTGTAACTCAACTGAGTGATAGCTCCAGAAACCTTCTCCCGGACATCAATATTTTCGTCTTCCAACAACTGAACTAGAATAGGAATTGCACCTGAATTTCGCACAACTGATGGCAAATGCTTGTAACCTGCGAGATCCCATAATACATCAGCAGCAGCAGCTTTAGATTCGGCACTATCTCCTCTAAGGATTCTAACCAAGTGTTCAACAATTGCTACACCATTCTCTTCTACCACTGCTAGAATGCAAAAAACATCCTCTGCAATCTCCTTACCCATGGGATCAGTTCCTTGCATAAGCTCAGCGTAAAGAGGAATAGCTCCAGCATTAGCAAGGGGTCTAATGTAATCAACATGAGATGAGATCACACCAAGTGCATTAGCAGCTACGACTTTAGTTGAAGTATCCCCAACCTGAAGTAGTTCTAGAAGCACTGAAAATGTACCCGAGTCAACAAGCGTGCGCCTTGCTCTCTTGACCAATCCAAGCAACCCAATTGCCTGAGCAGCTCTACATCTAGATCCCATGCTGCCACGTCTAGCAGCTTCAACAAGAAAACTAACACCCCTGGAAGTCAAAATGGTCCTCCTAACTTCTCTCAGAAGAGCCAATGCACTGAGGATTTCTAGTAAGTATAGCTTTAGATCATCCGAGCAAGTATTCAACAAATTGAGAATGATTTCCAGCCCACCATGTCTAACTACAATCTCACGGTTATGAGCAGCAAACGTGACACTATTTCTAAGGCATTTCAATAAAACCCTTCGCAAACTCCCATCAGCATGCAATAATAAACTCAAAAGAGAAGGGATGGCACCTGATTCACCAATAAGTACAGCCAATCTACCTTCCCCTCGACAAGCAACACATTTCAAGCAGTGAGCAGCGGCTTCCTGAATTGAAGGACTCAGATCAGTGGAAGGGATCCTTCTAAGAAGCTCTACAAGGACAGGGATCGTGCGTGCTAAGAGATCCTCAGGCGCGTGTTTCGACAATTTGGCAAGCGTAGTTGTAGCTTGGACCCATAAAAGCTCATTGTCACATGCGACTGCATTTAAATAAAGATCAAATGCTCGTTCCCAATTTATGTCAAGTTTTTCGGTTTTTCTACCAGACTGGGCCATGACAAACTAGGATCTCTTTTACGGTCACTCTGTAGACTCTAAGCGCTGTAAACATTAGAGGAAGGAAAGTTAACTTCCAAACATACATCAACATTTGTTGAAAATTACGTTGTATAAAAGGGTTCACAGAACGCGACATTTAATAGGCATAATTGTTTTGATGAACCTCCTTTGCGATATATATAGCACCATAAAACAGGTGCAGCAGAGTATAACCTATACAAGTTTGAGAACAGCTCTCAAAAATCATATTCAAACACTACTCTAACTACATAAAAAGAAGGCATAAAGTAAAAGTATTGCAAACAAATTTCACCATACAAAAGATTGCGACCTCAGTCCGGTTATCAAGAACAGATTCATATGGAAGACTAATGAAGTGAGGTTCATCGAGAGCATAAAACCATTGTTGATATCCAAAAAGTTACAAAAACGCATGTTGTCTCTCTTGTACAATGTACTAGTGAATGGTGTGCTTTTTTTTTTTAATTAACTATGGTGTCCAGTCCATCTTGATATTCCACAAGATACATGCCTCCTCCCACCCGCAACAAGTATCAGGTAACTCTATCCACCAATGCTAGGATAGACGGGAAGAAATCACAGTGTTTTTTTCGTCTCTGCCTTAGGTGCCTAGTGAATGGTATACTATTAGTTTTGTCATGGCTATGAAAAATGTCAAAGTAAAAATATCCAAGCCTTGTCATGGCTACTTTATCATATCGTATACTAATAACCTAATTAGGACAAATGCATTCTTTTTAAAAGTATAATTCGGGCCAAGGGGAGGTGCCAAGGTGTATGTATTTGCAGATGACATAGTATTGATTGACTAGATAAGTGGTGGAGTTAATGATAGGCTGGAGGTTTGAAGACAAACCTTGGACATAAAGGGTTCAGGTTGAACAGGACTAAGACAAAATACTTGAAGTGCAAGTTTAGTGCCATAATTCATGTGGTAGACGTGGAGTGAAGATTGTTGCACAAGTTTCAAGCATCTTGGGTCAATTGTCCAAGAAATAGGGAGATTGACGATGATGTTACTCATCATATTGCAGCGAGGTGGATGAAATGGAGGCTAACATACGATGTCTTGCGTGATAAGAATGTTCCACCAAGACTTAAGAGGTAACTTTTATATAAAGTAGTTGTTAGACCAACTATGTTTTATGGGTGGAACGTTGGCCGATCAAAAACTTGCATGTCCAGAAGATGAAAGTAGTTATACAGAGAGAAATATGACTAGGAACAAAGATATTCTGGACAAGATAGAAGTGGCCTCCCTGGTGGACAAGATGAGGGTGGCAAATTTGAGATGATTTGGGCATGCGAAGAGGAGATGCACAAATGCCCCGAGGAAGGTGTAAGAGGTTGGGTGTGATGGGTATGACAAGAGGCAGAGGTGGCTGAAAAAGTATAGGCAAAAGGCAAATAAACAGGATATGAAAACCCGCAACTTACAGAAGACATGATCCTAGATAGAAGGATTTGGAGGTCAATAATTGTGTAGAAAGTTAATAGGTAGTCGAGTGTTATCAAGCTTTTCTTACAGTATTTTAATTATTACTCTCGTACTAAATTATTCTTCGAATTTTATTATTATCCGTTGTTTACTTCGCCACGATTATTGTATTATTATATTGTTGCAACTATTCTCTTCTCCCTTATTTTCTGCATGACTTCTTCATTATTGTATTTTGTTTTCATACTTGATTTTTATATGCTTTACTTGATTCGATGGTCTATTGAAATCAATCTCTCAATCTACACAAGGTAGGGGTAAAGTTGCGTACATACCACCTTCCCCAGACCTCACTTATGAATATGTTGTGGTTAGTTGTTGTAGTATAGTTTGGATTAACTTGTTCGCCCCTCGACCATCCCACCAGCTACCGTCTATCTCCAACTAGCACAAACTCCTAAATAACTCTACCCACAAGGCTTAGGTAAATGAAAAGAAATCACTCATATTTGTTGTCTCATATTCGAAAACAACTATATCGTGAAATGATTTTATAACCTGTCCAAAAATTTCAACTTTTTCCCCTAAGATGAAAAACAGGGTTGATAACTTCTCAAATGTACAATAACATTACTTTATACAACCTATTAACTAACCTCTTTAAAAAAATAAAAAAACTTGGAGTTCCCTTTATCAAAAATAGTAGTTGCTCATGACCTATGAATTTTATACATATATAAATCAATTAGACAAAGAACAACGATAATACGGAATCAAAGTATCACCCAGCCTCAATTTAGGGTTAAAATAACACAATTCTTTCTAATTTTCCTTATAAAGTAAATATGATTAAACCCTTTTCACTAATTAATATTTTCTAAAAAAGGTATCAATCAATTTCATTTAACAACGATTGAGGTAAAAATTTGAGATACAAATAGATAAGCAAGAAAGCATCAAAATCATACACAATAATTCAAATGAAAAACTTACCTTTGGGATTTGTATTAAAGCAATCATCCGTTGTGGAAAACTCAGTTTGGAGTTTGAGGAATGAGCAAATGGGAAAAAGGAGTATGATAAAGAAGAAGAAGATTAACTGAAACGAATTAATGGTCGGTAATATCTACTTTTTGTAGTTTAGATCCAAACTTGATTAAAATGCCGTCAAATTTGAAGTGAAAAACAAATTAGTGGAATTTAAAAAAAATATCAACTATATTCGAACTTCGAAAGAATTGCTATAACAATTTTAAATAGGGCTTATTACCCTGCCATATTATTAGTGTGTCTTAAATATGTATTCACGTAGCAAGTTACTATTTTAAATTCTTTTTCCTAGAATTTATAGATAGGCATATTTATATTTTAAAATAATAATATTTGTATAAAATCTTTGTGAAGTTTTACGAAATTGTTATATTAAAGAATAGATCATGGTTCCAAAAATGATAAAATTTAAGGATATTTTAGTTAGATAAAAATAATATATGAAATAAAGATTTCTTAACTTTAAAAATTGATATAAATCCGTTTTATTTATTTTTTTTGTTTTCTTTCAATTTCATTTGTAGAAATTTAAATTTTATAAAACTGTCATATAATTTCATTCAAATATTTATAAATAAAAAATCATATGCACTTATAATTTTTTATTTATTTTTATTATTTTGATTTAAAATAAATATTTATACATAACTTTTTTCTTTTATTCAAACAATACAAAATTACTAAAGTTGAATTTCTACGAAGTGAGTGTCACCCTAAGGAAGTATTTGAAATTCTTTTTATACAGTAATTTTTTGGATGCACTAAGCAATTCAACAATAAAACAATATTATTACTTTACTTATGTAGAAGGGGTTAGAAGCAAACAACTATTCATAATATACTTGCTTATAGTTGAGGTTATTTTTAAATTTTCAATTCTCTCTATTTAAATTTGTTTTTTTTTAATGTTATATATTTTAAATTACATAAAAAATATCATACATCATATTAGTTAATAACTTTAAATATTGGAAAATCATAAAAAGTTTGATTGACTTTCGAAATTTTATTAGTGTCATATAAATTTAAAAAAATGTAGTAACATATATTATTTGAAAATCAGGTAAAAGATATTATAAATCAAAATATTAAAAAATTATCATTTGACTTTCCTTGATGTTAATAGTGATGATCAAACCATCATATTTATCCCTCAAATACTCTCTAACAATAGGACATTCTGATCCCACCCCAACATACACAAGAAGAACAAAGAACTGAAAAAAGTTGAATTTCTATCTGAAGCAATAGAAAGATGAATGAATATAATAACTTGAACCACCATAGGATAAAAGCTTCTTATAATTTCATTTTACAAGTTTTTGCACTCAGATTATGTACCAGATCAAACCACAATTATTTACAAATGTAATAGACAACTAGACAATAAACTAACTCCAAAAAGTATTTCCTTAACTGAGATTTTCTCACTAAACAAAAGTGTTTCCAAAGCTGCCTTTTTAACTTGCAGCAAGGTAAAAAACTGTAGCTAAATGGCAACATAAATTACAACAAGCCTAAAGGACACAGCCAGCAGACGATGTCAAAATTTTGTGCAGTATCTCACAATATACACTGCACCATTATATAATAACACTTACCATTGAACTCCCAAAAAGTAAATATCTTTTTTAAACTTCACCTTGAGAACATATGGTTATGTTTGTGCGATTTGACTTCACAACCTCAAAGGTAGTGCAACAGTACCAACTTCAACAGCTGAGATTGTATGGCTTTAAATGTATAAAGAAGAAAATGACCTGGTTCCTGTCATGAATAATGAGGATTGGAAGTAAGAAGATTATTCAGCATCAAGTTAAGAAAAGAGAAATAGTTTCCAGAAAACGTAAATACAGATGCTGGTTTACCTGCGTATGTGCGCTGATCTTTAAAATTCACTAAGTGCTATAAAATCCTTTCACAAAATTAGCCTTATAACAAGTATGCAGGGCAGACGATCTGCTACCAGTGAGCTCAAACATATTATCGTCTTTCATATTTTCTGGCAAGTTCCTTTAGAAGCAATCTCTGCCGAAAATCAAGATATTTGTCCACGCTAGTCCTTGCCCACTGCTGACAAAAAGATTCATCAGTAGGGACCAGTGAACTTAATGGAAATGGTCCCTTGGGAGCCCTCTTTAGAGAAACCAAAAACATATGGCGAGGCCTAATTCTCTGATCCAGCGACAAGCTTAGGTACATAGGATATTTAGTTAATGATCGCACTTCATTGCCAAGTTCATTGACCAAGTAGCTGTACTTAGGTTTCAGATTCCCCTCAAGTGATAGAGAGAAGACCTGCATGTAAAGACATTATGAATATACGTCCATGAAAATATATCAATTTAAAAGAATGAGAAATCTTCCAGCACATTGAAGACTTCCATGCTAACGCAGCTATAATTCTCTGAGATGTAATTTCTTTTTTTCTGACACATAGTCTGTTATGCTTGGAAATCTATTATGAATGTGCCAAAAGTTATGCAAAATAGGAGATATCTCTATGAGATGAGAGCACCATTTTCTAACTTGGTGAGATAACCAACCACACTCACAGATGAAGATATAAACTTAAGAAGGCATCAAAGCTGACCTGTGTAATGCTAGTTAGCACTTTCACTATCTCTGAATTGCGCATTCCGATGCTCCTAAAAAAGTTAATTCGGGGAAGCAATCCATCCTCTATGCTGTAGTGAAGTAATTGAGGATGCTTCCTAACCATTTTGACAATACTATCTCTGGGTGCATCCAATTCTCTGGTGAGAAAATTGAAGCGGGCTGTCCATGAAGTGTTAATCCGCTGCACCAGAATTTGAGGGCTTAACTGCACAACTTTAGCCAGGTCATTCTTCTCGATACCGACCTCCTCAAGCAAGTAAGTCACAGTGGGTTTTAATGAATTTTCCACACTATAGGAAAAAAGAGACGGAGTTGCAGTAATTATCTGCCCGATTCTTGAGTCTGGGATACCCAAACTAGTTAAGAATGTGACATGGGATTTCAGATTGTTTTCCACAGTATACTCAAGAAGCTGAGGCTGCCTCAATATTATCTTCCTGATGTCTTTATGTTTGACACCGACACTCAACAAGAACTCCAACCTTTCCTGTGCAGAACTCTTATTTATTTGAAGGGAAGGCATGTGCCTTTCATACATCTGGATGAAGTGAGAGTCCTTAAATCCAAAGGTACTTAGGTAATCAAGAAGTGGATACCATCTCTCATCGAGATCCAGTTCCTCTGCAAGATGACTAAATCTGTCCTTAGCCAAGCTTACCCTTGCCTCCTACAATGCCACAAGACATGATTTTGCAGCAAATGGTTGAAGCAAAATTTACAGCTTGACATGCTAACATTTAATACCTTTTCTCTGCAATCTGCATGCAAGAAAGTTTTACTAGTCAGTTTACTGGAAGCATTAGCATACCCAATAATTTAGTCTCGGGAATTTCCACTTTTATTTCTTATTGTTCTTGCTAACTTTGACAATTTATATTGCTCAACTTACCTTGTGTTATCTCAGGAGTTTGCCGCCGGTGTCCCAACTTTGCATTCGATCCTCCTTCTGAATGGTGATGACTGTCTGCATGACACACATAGCATGTAATTCAAATTCCTTCCCAACCATTAAGATGAAAAAACTGGAAGTATACCTCGTCTGATGTGTGTTGCATTCTGAAACTTCAGGCGTTGTCGATCCTGGGCAGAAACTCTCACATCTAGAGATTCATCCTGGGTGATAAAAACATGGTAATAGAAAATTAAAAAAAAGAAGCATCATTGTTTCCGTGATTCAAAGAAAAGGGGACGGGGATATAAGGAGACTGTAACATCAGTAACCAAGAATAAATAAACCCCAAAAGAACGCAACCAAGATTGTCCAAAAAAGACTGCTAGTGTAAGCAGAACAATATAAGCTATGCTTTCTCCGCTTGTAACGATACACCAATTTAAAGGATACATGACTCAAACATTTATCATTGCGAAATTGAAGATAAAACAAGGTGACTATATGCTGCAACAACATAAAAGTCTTTTGAAACAAGACGAACAAAAGTATGTGCTACCAACCCTTGTTCTTTTCTATTAACAATAAAATTCTTTTCATGCTAAGTGATTATGCAACATCATTCAACAACAAGCTAGCTTTACCTCATACTAACTAGTGAGGATACATCCCCATTTTTACCTGATTAAACTTGCCAAGGATCCAATATCAATAAATTAAACGAGTTGCAGTCAATTTTTAGTACAATGAACTAACACAGACGATAAAAATTGTTAACAGAGTATATTTAGTTTACTAATAACCATAGATACTACCCACGCCAAAAACCTAGATAAAGTATTAAATAAATTGCGAGGCAATTTGAAACTCACATCAGAAGTTGAAATGTCGTCTTCATCTTCAAAACAATCATCATCATCGGAGTCAGAGTCGTAAGTCGATAACGGCTGGCCAAACCTAGACCTTCGATTAGGCTTGAGAATTTTGGGATTTGTATGAGAAGAAACAACACAAATTCTACTGAACTTGAAGAAGCAGCTCTTTCGATTAGAGATTCTGTTTGAAGGAGGGAAATTGATATTGAAGAAAATGGAAGTGTGATAATGGAGTGTGAAGTTGCAGATAATAGACAACGCTGCTGCCATGATATTCGTTAGTGAAAGAAGGAATATACTCTAAAACCCTAAATGTATATGATTTGGAAGAGATAGTGGTGTTGTGGCCATCTTATCTTCACACAAAAAAAGAATGGTCCTCGCTGTGATTTTTCCGCTTCACAGTTTCTACTTCAAACTCTCCTAGCGTTAGGAGTTGTACAAATGACCTATTTTAAAGGACAATTGTCTAACTTGGCGTTTGGACACGCACCATTTCGAATCATATGATTTATTTAACGGAAAACGATCTGTATTGAAAATGGTACAAAATCAAAATATCCTTCTCACCCACCAATTGACTCCAAAATATCCTTCTCATCACATTTTGCTTCAAAATTGATCACTTATTTAACGATTTTAAATTTAAACGATTTAAATATTTTTTAAATACGTGGCGCTAAACTGTTTGTTATAATTTAACTTATTAGTATAATTTATAAATCAATCCACTACCCACCCATTACTAATTAAACCCCTCTAAGATTAATAAATTCGTCACATTATTAATGCAACAACAGAAAAATCTACTACCAGTTGAGTGTTTTTAATAATTTGAGGTGAAAATATCTATACAAGTAAATTATCATACATTTAAGTTTCTAAATAAAAATTACCGATAAATTTAAAAGTCTGATTATGTTCATCTTAATTATTCTTACGTCTCAATTATGTGATGTTACTTCATAAGTAATTTTTTTTAAAATAATATATAAAAGGTTTTAAAACAAATCATAAATATTATAAAATTATTTTTAAAAAAAGGTGCATGAATTAATTCGGGATGTATTATTTTTTTACCTTTAATCATAAATTTCTAATTCAATCTTGAAAGAGAATTTTATTTAAAGTGTCCTCCTAAATAAGCGGTTCAATCTAAATTTAATTGGAGCTTCGACTCGGATTCAAATAATTTTAGATGTCATTTTCAAGAATCTATAATATATCGTGTTTTAGTAGTGTTTATGGCGATTTTGATATTATGATTGTATTATTGATTGAGAGTCGTTTAGTTAGTAATGAGTGTTTAGTAGGTTGATTTATAAATTATATTAATAAATTAAATTATAACCAATAGTTTTAAACACAATTAAATAAGTAGTCAATTTTGAAGCCAAAGATAAATGACAAGGATATTTTGGAGTGTAGATGAAAAAGAGCATTTTGAAGTCAATAAATGAATGGAGAGTAATAATGTTCAATATCTCAATATTTTAGGCCCTTTTTTAAAGTAGAGAGCAAGGAAGTGGCGCAACGTGGAGAGATTAGAGCAAGTATACAATTTTGTGGTTGTTAAACATTTACACCACATTTTACCCCTACAACCAAAAAAGAAGAATTGTGTGCTCTTTACTCTCCAATGGCTACTCCATTGGCGCCTCTTCATGGATTCAATTCACCAGCAATTCCATTAAACAAGCAAACCCAGCTCCCTATTCTTATGAAACGGAACAAGCAATTAAGCAAGCCAATCAACGCCGTTGCGGCCACCGATATAATTACTTCAGATCCAACTCAGGTGGAAATCACTTGGCAAATTGTTGCTGGATCTTTGGGTACTATTCATACTCTATTCTATCTTCTGAATCAAAATAAAGTATTACCTATACTATACATGAACGACTATTTTGAGCATTTTCTGAAGTTACAACAAGTGTTATTCATAGTATCAACCTATTCATGTAGTCTTATCTGTGGTTTTACTGTATTTAGATAACTGCATATTACTGTTTGATATGGTTTTCTTGTATACATTCGTCCTGCTCCTTTGTTATTAGATTATTATGTTTTTCTTTTATACCATTTTTCTTTTAATTATTACTTGAATTGAGGCTCTCTTGAAAAACATCTCAATAAGACGTGTATATTCTAATCTTGAAAGAATGACAAAAGTCACGTATCGGTGATTAATGAGATGGGTAGACTTTTTACCAGGCTTGAACAATTCTCCTATCTTTGAGCTAGATTTTGGAATGTGATTTAGGTCCAAAACCTAATTTCACACGGTATCATAGCAGCGCCCGTCTCATTCGATGTTGGCGCTCTCAAATTAAAAATTGTCCACGCACTAGATGCTAAGCACTACTGGCGTGAGTGGGGTTCGTGAGTGAGGTTTTTAAAGAATGACAAAAGTCTCACATCGGTGTTTAATGAGATGGGTGAACTCCTTATAAAGTTTGACAATTCTCCTCCTTTTGAGTTAGATTTTTGGGCGTGAGTTAGGTCTAAAACCTAATTTCACACGAGACTCCACTTTATATGATTTTATTGAGTATGTTATTGTTGTATGCAGCGGGTGTGACACCATTTGTGGTAGCAGGAGTCGAGTTCAGCAAAAGAATTGTTAAGTACCATTAATTCAAATCCTATTAAATTGCTTGCAAGTTGCATCCCATACTCAAAAATCTGATAAAACTTGTTGGTTTTGTCAGGTAAAACAGAGGAAATGTGAAGTTTGTGGGGGTTCAGGACTTGTTCTTAAGAACAAATTTTATAAGAGATGTCCTAATTGTGGTACTAACCTATCCACTACTCTACTTCATCACATTCAATTTTTCTTCCTTTTTACTCATGACTACAAATTTAATATCTCAAACTAGTAAATAGGTCTTAGAACAAATCACAGCTTTAAAGCAAATAAAATTATATCTATGGAACGGAATTATCGAAAATATAGTTATAGAGCCTTATTGTGTTTATTATGTTTGTTGTTTCTAATTTTTTTTTTTAAATGTAAAACAGGGGGATTTCTTCCTTGGCAGTCTTGGAGAAGATTCTTCACTGGTTAATAAATAGTAGTACATTTGTGGAAGCTTCATACCAAGTTTGATGATTCACTCTATACATCCAATATACATATGTATACTACTTGTAAAATATAAGATTTCGATACAAGTCTTCATGTATACCATGCATATTCTTTTGACTTTGGACTTACTTTTTCTTTTTAGTAAATATGACACATTTCTACATTTATTAATAATTTAATTTTAAAATATTCATTTTATGGTAACCACACAAACGTGTATAATTTTCTTTGACCACAAATTTTAAAAAAATATTGATGGTATTTATACACTATTGGGGGAGGAGTATATTCAAAGGAAAGATAATATATAAATATGCATTTTAATTTGACTTCATTTCATATTGGCGTAATGCATAAACATATCCCTTAACTTGACGTCAATTGACAACCATGATCTTTAACTTTGGGTGTGCACAAGTAGTCACTTAAACTTGTATTAAATTGAGAAAATGGACACATTCGTCTTACATGACACCCTACATGACAAATTTGTGTCCAACATGACGTCCTACGTGTATTGCGTCATGTAGAACACTTGTTTCTACCTGTTCAATTTTTCAAGCTTAAGTGTCTACTTCTGCACATTCAAAATTGGAGGACACGGTTATTCGTTGAAGTCAAGTTAAGGGTCATGTTTATGTATTATGCCTTTCATATTTATGTCATCTAATATTGGAGGAGTACAAGTAGACACTTGAATTTGTATAAAGTTAAACAAGTAGACACATGAGTCCTGCGTGACATAATATACATTGGACATCACATAGAAGCAAAGTTGACATATAGGCAGAGGCAGACCGCCCCTCTAGATGGGTTGCAAGTGTACCCGTTAACTCCGGAAAAATCATGTATATTTAGAGGCGTATCTAGGAGGAGGTCACTGGGTTCAGCGAACCCATGCTCCCCTCCTGAGATCATATACAGTAGTGTTATATTTTTTAAAAAGTATTTATATACAAATGTGTGAATCCACATATGAAGTATATATAATATCATGTGATGATGATTGGGTGCACCTCTCTAAGAGAAGTTAGAAATTTTAATCTTTTACTTGACAAAACGAGGTTTAATCAAATAAATTTATATCTTAGATTTACCTTTTCGTAATTGTGCACCCATCATCTCAAAGTTCTGAATACGCCTCTGGTGATATTGTGTTTTTTGTAGCACAAATTCACATGCATAAGTAACTATCTAAGGAATGTACTCCAATTTTTACGACATTTTTTAATCAAAATACTAAGAGAAGAGATATTCGTAGATCAAGTTATTAAGAAAAATGCATTTTTACTCAATTTCACATAACTTAAGAAAAAATCAACTCCATACAAGAATATATATTCAGTCTAAAACAATGATGAAGCGAGGGAGTACAGCACTTGAGTCCTTTATAACCAAATTTTGTGACCTTGAGTGAAGTCCACTTGCAATTGAAATTGAATCATACTCTTCATCAAGTTTTACATCATCCTTGCTTACTACTCTACCAGCAATTGTCCTGCAAACTATCACAGCTCTCTTCACATTCATTCCCTTAGAGACGCGATTCGCGTGTTCACACAGGACATCACTGTTTGTACTTAATAGAATTCCATTTTTCGAGTTGTATGAAGTTCTAAAGCTGAATTGGATTAGCCTGCAAACACAACAACTCGGATCCTTACAGAGTTCATCAGGATTGATTACCATATGTTCATAACAACAACTCATTGTCGTGATATGAAATTGCAATAATTCATTTCCATCAACTGTGATTTTTGGATGGTTTTTGTACTGTCCAAATGACCTTTTCTTCACAGTTTCTCTGTATTTTTCGAATTTTTCTAACATGTCAATGGTGTTGTTCACCCTTAGAACTTTCTTTATTGTTGGAAGTTGCTTTGATGGATTTGTTGTTGATGCTAGAAAAATCTTCTCGATAATATTCCTAGATGGATGTCCATTTTCCAGCGCTGTTGTTCAACCACAAAATCATGTTGTGTTAAAAAAAAACATAACTCCAAGCCAACTATGTCATATGAGATACAACATGAAGGTAATCCAGTTTGAAAAAGTAACATTCGAACTAATTGAAGAGAGTTCGACATCTACTGTATACGTATAAAAAATAATTTTTAACAGTGTATATATAATAAGATTTTCCGCTGAAGGAGGTTCGGATGAACCCTTGTTTGTCAATCTGTGTTATGAAAATCAGAAGTTACTGGTTGTAATAAATTGTCCAAAAACACGAAGTAACTGAGATTTATAGAACCAGTAAGTAAGTTGAACAAAAATTTATTTCTAAAAAAATAATTTAATCTGTAAAAACTTACCAGAATCTGGAATACTCTTTTTAGTTTGGAAGAAAATCAAGTCCACTGAATTCACAGTGTCCCCTTAAGGAAATTATTCTCCTCTAGTATCCGAGGTTTGATTTGGAATATAACCTCCCAGGGTAAAATGATCTTAATTAGTAGAGTGTAGATACCAAAAACTCTACTGTCAGCTAATCAATCCACAACAGGAAAGTACACGAAGAAATATGTGTTTAGAAGAAGAAGGAAGATCAGAAAATTCGTTTGAAAATATTCTGAAAACTGAATGGTATTTATAGGCAAGAAGAATATATTCTGAAAGGTTGCAACCCTTTCAGAATTGACACGGCCATTAATGAAAGGTTGCAAACTTTCAAAATGGAAATTAAAATGGGTCACACGCGCGGATACGAGTCGGGTCAGGTTAACTAAAAAGTTGAAAATATTTCGGTTAACTTTTGTTATCAACTAATTAATTGAAAATAATTTTTTGGCCATTTAATTAATTAAATAAATAAATAAAATAAATTTGTCCAAAAAAATAATCTCTCGATCATTTGCCAAAGCCGAAGCGAGCGACGATGACGGCGCGAGGGGGTCCCTTTTTCCAACCTTTTTAACAATTAATAGGAGTGTTTATTTATTTAAACTCTCCTATTTTCATTTCCATTACCGATGAGGGATAATTGCCTTTTTCATTAAAGGACTTTTCAAGTTCTCAACTTTTCAAATTCCTCTCCTTCCCTCTATTTTCCATCAATTCTTGCTACATACCCAACAACCCTGACATACTGTTTGCTCCGCCCCGGTAATCAATGACGTCGTAAATGTACTATCATATACATAATTAAAAAGTTTTTAAAAAAACTACATAAAATGAGCTATAAAATTCAAAATAATTACATGTTCATATCCAATCCAAAGTAACTCAAGAAATACTTATTCTCTCAATAAAAATTACAATTCTTACCCCCATTCATTAAGATTGATAATTTTTATAGTATCATATATTGTATTGATATCATTAAGACTGATATTATCTCTTCCTCTTTCTCTCTCTCTATACATATATATAGAGATAAATAGATAGATAGATATTATCAAATAAGCAAAATTATATACTGATTTAGTATCAGTTAAGGAAAATTATCAATTTTAATGATATTAATACAGTATATGAAACTAATTTAGTATCAACTAAGTGAAACTAGTTAGGAATATATAGTATAATTATATAACGGGGTATAAATATAAATGAGTATATCTTTATAATTATTTTACTTTAATGAGATATTTTATAAGATATTTGCTTAGTTCCTAAAAATATACATAATTTTTTCTTGTAACACTGTTAATCCACTAGGCAATTAAATTTCCAAATTTTGAAAATAAGTGCTTTTGGTTAAAGGTGACAAAAAGTTATATAATCCCCGAATAGGTCCTGCAGAGCACGATCAAAATTTAATCGGAGCTTCAATATGTGGATTTCGAACACCAAATAGAAAATAAAAAAAAACTACAAATCTTGATGGACAGAATAACCTGTAATGGTAATAAAAATAATAGAAGGAGAGAGTGAAGTAAGAATTGAAATATAGAAACTTTACCACAAAACCATCTCCAATGAGGTTCCTTGTGTTGAGAAATGGAGTTGATTTCTGGTTTTTCTAGTGGAGCATTAACCTTATGATAACAATGTGCCCTCTTCTCACAATTTCTGCAGCATTTGCACTTCATCACTTGTTTACAAAACTGTATTGTGCATGGTTTACTTGGTGTTACTATTTTATATTATGGAGTTTAAAAACATGAACCAAGTAGTGTATGGAGAAGTTGAATATTGTTATTATCCAAATAAAGGTAGTGGAATATTATTTGTGGAAGTTTGCCAAAAAGGAGAAAAGAGACAAATGAATGAATTTAAGGATTTTGTACTTTATGTAAAAGCTCACAAGTAGATACAAATTTAAAAACTCCGATCCTGCAAGAAAATGCAGATTTTGTTGTGGATATATAAACTTTAAATCACTTTATACATTATCTGATTTCTTTGAAATGAATGGTCATGGGTGGATTAAGGGAGTCGGAATCATTGGCAAAGCTACAATTTTTAATAAGGGGTTTAGAATATGAAAAATTTAAACACATGAAAGTAATCGAGGGAGGGGTTTGACATCTACTATATATACATAAAAAATAATTTTAACCATGTATAAATAGTAATATTTTCTGCCGAAGGGGTATGAATGAACACCTAGCACAAGGCTAGCTCTGCCTTGGTCGGGAGGGTGTTCAACTGAACTCCGTTTGATAAAATATTGTATAAGGTAATATTTTTTAATGTATATACATAGATTTTAAAATCCCTAAACACAAAATAAAAGTTTGGTTTAATGATTTAATTAGAGATTCAAAATTTATCTTGAGGTTTCACGTTCAAATTTAAGACACTATATTCTCCCTTCAGTCGGAACTTGTGGTAGTAATTAAGGATTCAAATTTTTCTTGAGGTTCCACGTTCAAATTTAAGACACTATATTCTCCTACAGTTAGAACTTGTGGTATTAATTACATGTTTCAAAATTTATAACGAGGTTTCAAGTTCAAATTTAAGACACTATATTCTCCTTCAGTCAGAACTTATGGTAGTAATTACGACTTTCAGAATTATTTCGAGGTTTCAAATTCAAATTTAAGACACTATATACTCCTTCAGTCAAAACTTATAATAATAATTACGAATTTCAAAATAATCTTGAGGTTCTAGATTCAAATTTGAGAGCTATATTCTCTTTTTGGCTAGAACTTGAGATAGTAATTGTCGAAATTTTATAGAGTAGTAGGAGTATGGTTCAAATCTTGAAAATCAACACTAAATCTAATTCGAACACTTTTATTTGAATAAGACTTCACACATGGTAAATTTTCTTGGTTCTTGGCGTATGTGTTTTAAATATTGTTGAATGCCTTGAATTGGGCCCTTAATTATCTGTCAATTCTGTATGTTGGGCCCAAGCCTTTTAGGGCGTAGCTTAGCACTATATATAGACGCTATGACAAACCCTATTCTGTAATTCTGTTTTTGCTTCTCCA